AACTTGTCTGGTGAATGAGCTGGGTGACTTAGAGGATCGACAGCTTTCAGGTTCTCTGAACATTTCAATCAGAGGAGCTGGACCACAGGGAGGTGTGGTGTAACCCACCGCACTTCTGCGTTATAACACCGTTTAACACGAGTCAATTATCTCTTCAGGGCATGCGCACACTAACTGAAACGCATCATACAACCAGGGTGAACATATAGTCCTTTTGCTGGCTCTCCGTGCAGGCATGAATTTCATACAGGCACTGTGTTACAGCTTTCAGTGGGCTTACGTTTTACTAATACAAGGCAGGCAAATATTATCCTGGTTTCTCTTTTCAAAAAATGAAGAAACAAGAGAAATGAAGTGTCCAAAGCTGTGTCCTATCACTGACACAGTCCAGGACAAAAGAGGTCTCAGCCTGCATCCTGCATCCTTAGCCACAGGAAAGGTCTCGCTCTCCTCAGTCTGATTACATAGCAACACATTTTTTTTAAGATATCCCAAAGAAAAAGGAACGTACAGACCAAATAATTCACCCTTGGTGTAATCATAGTGTCCATATCCCCTTTGGTATTGTTACCAATAAACTCAGAAGAGGTCACTTTACAACACAGACCTCTCTGCTCTGAGGCTGCTAATGTCCTCCTGTTGCAAAGCCACAAACCTAAATTCACACCGTAAGCACTGTGGGGACATCGCATGGGTTGGGGCGGGCAAGGAAAATAAGCCACAACGTTTGGGATCCTAGAGCTGGTTTGATTTCACCTTGCAGTGAAGTGAAAAACAGAAATTAGATGTGGAGCCAAAGGCATGTCCGAACAGGTGATTTATAAGGGGTGTTTGGCTAGTACGAATCAGCGAACCAGCTCAAAGCATGTCACTCGTGTCACTTCTCTGTGCGTTTCCAGAGCCTAGTTTAAAAAAAAAAAATCACTCACAGAAGTTTCTGAAATGTTTGTGGTCTTTTTTCTCTCTGAACCATTTTTCTTTGAGTGGGTTTTGGTAAGAGAAAGCAAGCTAGCAGGCCAGGGGAAAATCTGTTCTTACAAGGCCTGATTAGGGGAACTGATTTCATAGGTATTAGTCTTGATTCACCCCAGGTCAGGGAATCAGGTTGATTGCCCTCACCACAAGCAAAAGAGATCCTGGAAGTTTTAGGAAATAATCAAACTGCCGGGTGCACCCCAGAACAAAACCTAATGGTAAAATCAGAGAGGGAGTCAAGCTGCAAAGCAGAGCAGGTTCTGAATTCTCCCCAGATCTGAAACCCGTAACTTTGAGTTACGGGTCCTGGCCCCCCACCCGCTATATGAGGAGGTCCTCTTCAGGATAAAGGAACAAGTCTCTCTGACTGCTGAATACTATTTTTCCTGGTGTAGCAGGTAGCATCAGAAAGTACATCCAAGAGTAATTAGTTCACATCGCTGCTTACAACAGAGATTCGTTTGGCTCCACTGAGAACCAGTGCTTTGGAGAAGCTTTCTGTCTAGTCTGCCGAACATCTGCCTTGCTTCAATTTATACAAGATGTCATGAAGAGAAGAGCTGGACAGAAAATGCCAAACCGCTGTGTGTGTGCAGAGGCAACGTAAAGAAGCAGTGAGCAAAACCTCATGAAAAAAAGAGCGCTGCAGTACCTGTGATCCTGCGCGGTGTACTTCAGTAACTCTGCTAGCTGCAAGGGGTATTTGCAGATCTTCTGCACCGGCGTCAGAAGGAAACCATCTATGGCAATGTCAATCATCTGCTGCAACAGACGACACGCTTCGAAGAAATGCTGGTACCTGCCATCTTTCATCAGCTTGGAAAGCTCCATGCATGCATCCAAATGATTGTTACAGTACTCCGAATAGATCCAGAACCCGTCTTGCTGCGAGAGGCAGGAGGGGAGGGATGCACAAAGAGAGGAGCACACGTCAGACAAGGACCGCGAACGCTCGACCGTCCGACTGGCTAACAAGAACATGTTACGACTAAAGAAAAAAAATGGTATCCCAGTAGGAGGAGGAAGGGCTAATCCTGGAGGATTTCCTCTGCTTGGAGGAATTGCTGCATGGGTCCTCGGGGAGACGAGGGAGGCAGAGAGGGACCCTGTGTCCTAACACATTGCTGAGGGCTGCATGGGTAGAGGGTGTATTAAAGTGATCCCCAGTGCAGCATTGTGGGAGTTCTCCATTTCAAAATGAGTGTGGGATTTTCTTTATAAAAGGTGAGGGTGGAACCAAGTTACAGCTCTGGTCTTTGGTTATAGAAGACGACAATCTTGTTATCTCTAGAGCTCTTTTCCCTCAAAGAGCGTGACACTCCCGACAAGCGCTAGGGAGCTGAGCCTCCCTCCTGTTCTGCTGGGTAGATTTGCGCATCCCTTTACTGACAAGGAACCTGAGTCGCCAACAACTGTGTGGATAAGGCCACAAAACACCAAAGATGGACAAAAAAAAAAAAAAAAAGGAAAAGGAAAAGAAAAACACATTGGCACACACATGCTCAGCCATCCTTTGTGCTGGTCTAATAAGCAATTTTGGCTTAATCTTGTTGGAATCTCCCTTTTCTGCCTTCACTGACCATGGACGGGGCCATGGCAGCTGGTCACCTCCTAACTCAGCCTTGGTTCATCTGGGCCTCACAGACCAGGCAAACAAAAGGGTAAGAAAGGCTACTCTGGAAGGGAGAGAGAGAAACAAACGGACTGCCCGGTATCACATATTAAGACCGTAGTCAAGACAGTTCAAATACAAGCCTGGGTATCCTAGGTCAAAAGCCTGATATGTGACAGCAAATTGTGGCCGATGCCTTACAAACTATGGAAAGGGAAGTCTCTTCCTTTAAACACACAAATATACTTGACCAGCAATTCATATTTCTCAGCCCCATAGGGGCCCAGACAATGCACTTTTTTAGAGATGGGGAGCATGGTTTCTCTCCCCATGCCTGTGGCTGACTGCGAGCCAAGGGCCAAGCACCTCTCTCTTCCTAAACTCGCTGAGCAAAAAGATACTTTGCAGGGCCAAATAACTGAATCGTAACATCCTTCTACCTCACTTTCTCCAAATCCTTATACAGGGATAAATTATCAGGAATTTATTAGCTGGCTTGCAAGCCCATGGGAATGACAACGGATAAGTATCAGATAGCCCTTCGAATAACAGTAGTAATTCTTACTGTTGTCACTACAAACGAATTGAGAGCACAGCCTCAGGACATGAAGTCTGAGCTACTAATTCTCGCTAAGACTTCTTACAGCTTTTTAGCGTACAGGTGCAATATGCTGCTACTTTGGAAGCAAATCGCAGAGATTGCTGGCTCTGATCAAAAGGAGCAATCACTGAGTTGGCATTTAAGTTATTTATAAAAAAGTTATCTATTAAGGAGCAACAGCTGTGTGAAGTTGCACCGAAGAAGCTGGATGGCGGACATTTGGTTCAGATGCCGTGGGCAGGGTCCACGAGTTACCCGCAGTCGTGGCTCCCCGCTTCCAAGCTGGGCGGTGTTGTAAGACAGTCTCATCCCCAACACAGGGCTGCTTTGCCACGTGCTAGTTATAATTTTTGTTACAACAAACTTCTGCTCGGGCCAGTGTCCTGCAAGGTGCTGAACACCTGCTTTCGAGGCTAAGTCAAGGAGATATTTAGGATTTAATTAGGGTGAGGGATTCATACTGTGGGGACACACGTTTCAAAGGTGCTCAATCTGCAAATCCCCCAGTCCCTGCAAGAGAGCTGGGCTTGGCTGCCTCTAACCCTGCTCCAAAAACCAGAAGTAAACCCCTAAACAGAGCCTGTGGTACCTAAGAGCACGTTACTTATTTGAACAAAGCCCTTTACACTTAAACATTCCTCCTTTAAGAAGGTGATCCGGGACAGTGGCAACCATGCCACTTCCCAAATGTTCTGGGAGGTCAAATCCCATCTGGTCTGTCCAGGAGGGAAGGAGAAAGGAGGGCACCTCACAGCCCTGCGTCCGCAGGCTCTTACGGAGCACGCAAGTTCAAGGGAGGCCAACAACGCACAACCCTCCGCGTGGGGCACAGCCCCCTCCAACACAGCCCCCAGCGAAAGGCATTGCATTCCTCACTTTGCAGCGTGACTTCTTCCAGCCTGCTTAATTTCTGACCAACGGAATTACGTTGCTGTAAATTGTGATCCCCTCCCTAGAGCACCTAGCCCTGAAGACAGGAAGAATGATGCTAATGCCATCATGCAATTTCTCAAAAATAAAGTTGCTTTTCAATTAGAAGACCAGCGATGCTTAAGAGCAGCTGTGAACCTTTTCAGGGATGCCCTGCTGACATTTCGCGAATGTCTATCACAAATTTCTGTAATAATAAGTGAATGTCGCCAGCTCATCCCTGACTGTAAGTAATGCGGTAATGTATTACAGGATCTGCATCCCGGGTCGGAGCACCTCTTACGTAAGCTCTGATATAGCACTTCATTTTCCCTAAAGGAAAGCCTGATAAAGCTGGACTGTAATTTTCTTGACATTTCCTGACATATTTACAACACCGACCAATTTATCAGCTCCTGTAATATGTGGCTTATGTAATGGCAAGATGGGGCGGGCAAAAGCCTCCAGGACTATATCGTCAGCGAAAACATCCTGTTCGTTTTGCTTTTGGCATGAGTAAGCTCTCTGCTGCCCTGCTGCCACTTAGCATGAGGCATGGACTAGGACTAGCACCTTCCCACCCGGCCCGGTCAGGAACTGCAGCTCGATGGGTTTTTCATCCCTTGCAAACGCATCTCATTGCCACAGTTAACAACCCAGGCATTTGCTTTCCTCTTCTGCAAATCACCCCCTGACAGCCCGCACCTTTTAGTAGGAAAAAATCATTTCTTTGGAAAATGATGGGTGAAAAGACCTCTGCTTTTCTTCTAAATTTTCTAGAAAAATGCTGCTTTACTTTTGGATCAACTTCTCTCCCAGGAGGGACAAATTTAGAGGTAACACACAAGTAAGGCTTCCTTAATCTCCTCTGGACTCCCCTACCACTTCCAACCTTATTGTCTTCCATGATCTGATTAGAAAGGCCTGTAAGCAGGCTTAAGTCATATTATGAAGAGCAAAAAAAGACGAGGAGTTGGTGAGGGACCTCATAATGTAAGTCAGACCGGACGTGTAAAGTTGTAAGTTCATACGCATGGGGGAGGCATCCAACTACATGCTTCACTTTGAATTCTCCCTGCATCCTCATCTCACAAAGTAAACAGACGGCCATGGGGTAGCCTGTGATACGTAGCCAGAATAGTACTGATATACAAAAGTTATTCTGAGTGGTTCCTGCCTTCTGACTTTTTCTGTCCCCTCCACCCCCCCCTCCAAAAAAAAACCCAACAAAAAAGCCAAATGCACTTACATGTTCAAGAAAACATGGTCCAATTTCGCTGAGGTGGGGGTCCTCGTTGTTGTATTGTTTCTCCAAGTCTCGGACAAAACCCATCTGAAATCTGTAGATATCTTCGATGTTGCCAAAGATGACCTTTAGCTGCTCATCGCTGAACATATCCCTTCTCTTCCGGCACTGCTTTAAATAACCCTGTAAGGAGTAAGAAAGAGCAATACATAAAATAACCTGAACTCTGGCAATCCCAGGAGAGCAGCAAGAAAGAAAACATATCTTGTTTTAGATTAAAAAAAAAAAAAAAAAAGCTGGGCACTTTTACTGATGCAACTCCCAGATTTTTCTTGAGGAAATAGTCAGTACAAACGGAATCAGAAGACGACCCTGAAGACAAAATCCACTTATTAAGGCATGACAGTCTCCATCCACTCCTGTCTATGACTTGGTCATAATAAGCAAATCATGCCCCTTTTTCAGTAGACGATGTTTCAGTTGCAGCTTTTGGCACTAACAACCACTGTTCCCACTGCAACCTACAGCACAAGTCTTGCTCCAGACCTGTCTGAACCACCACCCACGGTGCTGGCCAGCCTCTGTTGGCAGATGCTGGAGACAGCGGGCGTATGAAAGCAGAGAGTGCTGGGTCCTCAACATCCTTCAGCACTTTGCACAGATCAGTTTTGCAAAGGGAAATTTCCCCCAAGCATCTCAACCACCACAGCCTGAAACAGCTCTGCGGAGCAGAGAACAGCAAAATTTGGCCAATAGCTCCAAAGAGATGTGCTACAGTTTTGTACGCCTGTTCCTTCAGAAATCTCTGTCACACAATACACGATATTCTGGGGAGCTACCACAAACGCTGCTGTTCCCACACTGTCTTCAGTGGCACACAGCAGTATGAAGCTGCAACGGTCCGTTTGATCGCCTGCCCACTCCTATTTCTCTTTTTAGCTGCAGTAAGCGGGACAAGGAAGCCGCCAACCAGGCTGAGACATACTCCATTAGTGTCTAGGCACGTGCCCTTGGTCTAGGAAGAGGGTGCACATGCTGTAACCATCCTAGTTTCAGCATCGAGTGAAAACGCATCCGAAACCTGCTGCTAGCCAAAGGCAACGTGTCTTATCATACCAGGCTTCCCTGAGTTGTTAGGCAACGTGGTTTATCCCGCCATTATTCATCTTCCAGAATATGAGAGAGAAAAGCGGGACGGCTGGTTGTTCCCGGACCGTCGTGGCGGGGAGCAGTGCAAGCTGCGGATTAATGCCATCTAGAGGAAAGCAGCATTATTTTAACTTTGGTTTCCTGCTCTTCATTCCATTTTCCCAAATCCACTATTCCAAACAGTGTAAAACGAGGGAGAAATTTTGTCCTGTTTTCTCAACTAGCGCCTTTGTTTTTCTTCTTTCCTGAAGTGCGACTAGAGGAAAAGGCTTTGCGCCCTGCTCTATACAAACATGAGGGTCTCTTGTTGGGTCTATAGACTTGAAAGATAAGCAGTGAAAGAGAGAGGAAGAACAGGGCTCTAGAGAGTTTAAGGAAATTCTCCAAAATCACAAAATGAATCTGTGGTGGAGCTGGAAATAATGAAAAGATCCTCCTCATTTATTCTTCATCTGCCTATGATACTGGTACTGTGACCAAGCTCAGCTGGACATCGCACATGAACTTAGCCAGGAACTCACCAGCCTGGTTTCACCTGAATCATGAGGAATTCAAATGCACTTGCTTGGAGCGCACGTGGTCTGGGGGACGGGGTGACACACTAAGGCTCAGGATTGCCTGGGCTGTACTTCCACCTCTGCCGCTGACCTGTGTGACATTGAGCAACTCACTTCACCCCTCTGTGCTTTCCCTGTCTTGACGAGTTAGACTAAAACTTTGCAGGGGCCAAATATCAAGTGCTATCTATATGCTGTCCTAGTCCTGATTGCGGCCTTGCGACTGAAATGACAATAACACGGGGGTCATCACGAGATGACTTTGCCTTTTATTATATACAGAGAGGAAAAAAAATAAGGAAAAAAGTGCCAACAGCTCCAGTTGAATGGCTATATTTGGGAACTATATATGCTTAGTCACACAGATGAGCAGCCAGCTGGTGACACGCAGCTGCTGATAGACAATGCAAACTATTGCAACGCTATAATAAACTGTCCTTCAGCCTCACCATGTGGTTCCTGGGAGGGAGAACTTCAAATAGATGAATGATAAATGCAACTTTGGCCAACCTGGCAAATAGCCGACCTCTGAAACGTCCAGCTTAGCTAAAGGATACCATATAATGAGCTGCCTTGCTTCCTCAGCTGGGAAGCCTAGGTTATGGAATACCTTTCACATTTACTAAATCTAGGTCTCTTTTCTTTCAGGGTTTCCTTGGGAGCTCCTTGCTGACTCATCTTCCTGGGTTTCCCTCTTTCATTTATCAAGCCCAGGAGGAATGTGAGCAGGCTCGTTCCCAGGTTGCAGACAGTTGCTGGGCAAATAAAAAATTAAACTAGAAAGGAATAATGCAAAATGCTTTCCGTGCTGCTTTTCACGCTTTTCTGCTGATCCCAGAACAGCCGGGAAAAAAAAAGCGCATAGACTTGCCCCACAAGGTCAGGCTCTCTTGGACCTGGGCTTTGGTGCCAGCAGCGCTGAATGACTGCTGCAAGCTGTTTGCCCGAAAACCTTTGCCTCTCTGCCTGCAAGCTGGCCTCCCTTCTCGCATACCCTGTTGTCTGAAATCAGTCAATAGCTGATTTATGTGAACATCTTTCAGCCCCGGGGTTGCTATTGGCTGCAACTTGTTGTTATTGTCTTGAAAATTCCCCATCCTCTCTGCACTGGCTCATCACTTTACCTAAGTCACGTGCTCCAGAGAAGCTGAAGCAGCACATTTCTGTACAGGCACCTATAAAACCACAGGGAAAATAAATGAATGCACGGAGTTCCCAAGCCTTATCCTGTACCCGGCTTGTGCATTTGGACGGTTGATTTCCAGCACAAGTGAGCAAATAGGAGACTAAAGATTTATATATAATACACGGTAAGCACCAGCTAGAAGGCTGCTGCATAGTTTTTCCAGTAAATTTACTTTTGTTACATAAAACAATGTCATCTTCCTCCTGCTCATTCCATCAGGTTTGCTCAGAGAAGGGATAGCTGACGGACGAGCAGATGTTGGAGACCGTTTTGCCCAATGAATACCTAAAAATAGCTGTCAGACTGTCTCCCTTTAAAGTACTTTTCCATGTAGTCCCTAAGGCATAGACCAAAGTTGGAAAGTATTTCTAGGAGGTTAAGTGCTAAGTTTTCTCCACCCTGGAGCAGGTTCAGGGGGAATCAGGAGAGCTGTCCAGTCCATCCACCCTTTTCTTTGTCCTGCTGCAAGCAAGGTGAAGGAGGAGATGCTATTCCAGCTTCTTTCCATTTCTGAGCCAGCTTGGAGGATAATTTGCCTTTTTGACCACCCTTTGATTTGGACAGCACCAGGCTATCAAAAGACACCGCTCTTTAGAGCAGCGGCCAGCGGCAAGCCCAATGCCCAGCATGAGCGCTGTGCAGATATTCACATACCAAGAATAAGTACAACAGCAAAGTTCAGGCTGTTTCAATCAGAAAGGCAAACTAGAGCCATGTCTGCTCACAGGCAGTCAGGACTCTAAAGCCCTTACTCAAACATCTACCAGCAGCAGGTACTGAACATCAGGCACATAACCGTGCATCGGTTCCTCTCTGCTCCTGTTCCTTCCCCATCAGCACCACTGATTCTCGAGACGCAGACTGTCATTGCCATGGGACCCACCTAAAATACATGAATACATGGGATGCCTGCTAACAACACAGCAATTTGTTCACATGCTGCTGATTCCCCATGAATCCAAAAAGCTTTCCACTGAGCCTCCCTCCCATCGGGTACCCACTAGTGAGAAACTGCTCATGAAGGGCCAGCAGCTCCCCGTACGTGGTCCTCTGAAGACGGACAGCATCTCCGCCGAGAACGTTTTACGCTGCTTGGCTCAGAGGCAGCACAGAGAAGCAGCTGCTCTCCGTCTCCGGGAATGAGTCAACCTAACATCAGCCAGACCACGTGACAACTTGTCCCGTCAGCTCCGCACAACAGACTCAGCTTGACACGTTAAGCTGTAACGAGGAAGCTTGCCACGCGACGTTCAGAGCCGTCCTGGCACCAAAGCAATGCTTAGGCGGAACCTAAACTACGAAACCCAGTCAAAACTATGAAAAAAATACATTCAAAAGGAAATTAATTTAATTTGCCCTTGTATTCTTAATCTGTGCTCTGGTGCAAATCCTCCTCGGCTCTCAAAGCCCAGCAGCCTCCTCCGTGTAGCGCCGCTGCGGCTCCTCCTCCGTCCGCGCTCCCTCCGACACGCTGCAGCTCGCATCACCTCCTTTGCCCCTGCTCTCGCGAAGGTGCCTCCCGGTTTGAACATCGCCGCTGCTCTCCCCGTGTCACCCCGTGTCACCCCGCGTCACGCACAGGCCCTTCAGCCTCCCGCTCGGGGCCGCGCGTGGCCTGTCCTCCTGACGTCTCTGCCCTTCGCCTCAAAGGGAGATGCAGGTGTTGAGGGCATCTGCGGATCGCGAGCACAGCCTGCGAGCTCCTGGTGGTAAAGGGGACATCTCTTTGCGCCTGGAGATGGCCATGCGTATCTACGGGGTTTTACAGGACGGGGAACGAGCAGCGCTGCCTACCATTAAAGTTGGCTAACACTACCCGTTATAAAAGCTCAGCTTTCAGAAGCTTATTACTTTTCCAAGGCCTAACCCTTAATCCTGAAAATCCTACTGCGGGATGTTTCCCTGAAGCTAAATTCCTTTCCCTTCTATTTTTTTTTTCTTTCTTTTCCCCTTGGTGACATTTCAGAATAATGACCCAACCACTTCTGATAACACAGTCCAGCGAAAAGACGGCATTTTGCCCCTACTAGAAATCTTTCCGAAACTGTTTCACCAGGCAGCAACCAGACCTTCCCACTCTAAGCAAGGGCAGAGCAGCAACAGCCGTCGGGGCTGCACCGCTCTGCTGTGACGGGGAACATCCCTCCAAGCCAGTTGCGTTGCAAAGGTCTCCGCTGGCACAGGTAATTTTCATTCTGGTGCTGGCTAGCTTTGGAGCTCCTGACTTGGCAGGACTAGCGCTATGGGTATTATGAATAATAACACAGCGTATAATAATATAGCAGCAGGCACTGGGAATGCATCCGAAAGCAAAAAAGAGCAACCTGGGGGCTCTTAATCACCTAGCAGGGGCTGCAGTCTTGCAATAACAACCACCCATCTTAAGCTGCCTCACTACCAGTAGGACTTGTTATTCGTTAGAGCACCGAGGATGCAACTACACGTTGCTAAACGCGATACTAAATCAGGCTCAACCTTCACCACCCAGCCAGAATTCCTCTTTCATCCCCTCCAATTCAGCATAATGCTGCTGTTCGTCCTGATGCCTTAAAATAAGGAGCAAAAGGAAAGGGAGACTTTGCCACTGTCAACAGCACTTCTGTGTCTCATCAGTAGTTGTCTGGAGACTACACGTCCTTCAGCACAGATAACACCTCTGGACGAATCCATCTGCTAGTACCAAGAAGGGCTCAAGCCGGCCCCCATCTCTCCATCTCCAGCCACCCTCCTCTCATGCACAGATACAGTCACGTCAAGCTATGCAGAAAGAGCTGGGCATGATTTAGCTGTCTCTGAGCCTTCTCGAGGCAGAATGGATTGCTCTGATTAAACTGAGCAAAATGAGATTTTCTCCAGCAATGGACAGCCCATCATTCTGCAGATGAGAATGCCCAATGCAGCCTTCCTTCTTTTTTAGAAGAGGCAGCTGAATCATTTCCTGATACTCTACCTGGAGGTAAGATTTATCCCCTCAGTACCGTTTTGTATCATACAAAGCAAGATAAGAGCCTTAGAGATCTCTTTCATGTACCAGGCATGTCGTTAGGTGCTGAAAATCAGTGTCACCCCACAGAAGTCACCGAAACTACACTTATTTGTACAAGTTGAGAATCTGACATGGCAAAGGCATGGTGACATGGCTAGCAAATGCAAGGTCAGTTTTTTTCTCCCTTTTTTTGTTTGTTTTTGTTTAAACAGTGCAAATGCAGGCAAAGAAACACTATGTGGAGAAGTTCCCGCAGTTGTTCACTTCTTCAGTGCAAACACCACTGACTGAAATAACACAGTGAAATTAAGCTCCTCTGTTCCCAAAATGAAATCCCAAGACTCTTCCGTACTTGAAAAGCATCATAGATGTTTTTTGGATGGCTGCTTCGCCTTGTCAATAGACGAGTAGCAAGCTGGAAGGTAGGAGGAAGAAATTTTCTGGGGAGGACTCATAAGGGACTTCACCACTTTGATTCTGCAATGACCGGGCACAGGATCGTTAAATCCTAAACCCTCAGAGGGATGAGCTGAAAGTCACGGACCTTGATTTCAGAGCTAACGAACTTCTGCCTCCAAGTGATAGGAGTACTCCGCGCATACAGCACCCAAACTGTCCTGAACCACTCCAGGGCGCAGCCTGGCATTCCCCTTCCCAAACACCCAGCGCCACACACGCCTGACGTTGGGTTCAGCTCCGTATCAAAGCCCAGGGATCGTTTGCTTGCAGTTCCCTTACGCGACGTAAATCTGACGCACTTCAGTTCCCCCGGAGACAATGTTTTGCTCTCCAGCTCACCGTACGCAAAGACAAATAGGAACCATCCTGAGCAAGGGGAAATTGTGAATGTGATGCGAAAGACAGGGATGAAATGGTTAACTGATTTGTTTAATTACAACCTAATTTCTTCCATCACTAGTTTAAAAGTAGTTGGCAATCAGATTTAATTAAGAGGAACGCTTGAAAGATACCAACCTCATCATTTTCCCAGTCAAAGAGGTATGGAAAAAGATCTAAAAATTTTATTTTTAGTTAATACGAACTAAAGCCAATTAGCAGATCTAGTAGAAAATACTTAGAAGTATCAATATTTATTGACAGGTACTGCTCCTCTATTAGATATGCTACTTGTAAACACATTGCATCCCTTTCTCCCATCACCCAAGTACAGGCTTGTCCCCAGCTCTCAACAGCCCATTGTGTGTCTTGCTGTGGCAGCTGATCCAGCCTGCTGCACGGTCTCAGCATCACATCCCCCCCGTACCTCACAAATGTCCTTGAGGTGCTTGATATAGTGGCGCTCTGTGCTCATGATTTCATTGATGACGTTGGCTCTCATCTGGTCTCGGTTCTGGAGGGTCCTGCCGAGACAGAGGCAGTCGGCGCTTGGATCCAAATGGCCATTCTGCACTTCGCTGGTTCCTTCCTCCACTCCGTCCTCTTGGTTCACCCATAGCTGCAAGGAGAGGAGGGAATTGCAAGAGGTTTATTTGGAAAAGCACCAGGAGACCACCAGCTGAAGATCAGCTTGGTAGCTGACTGGAGGACGCAAAGAGATCCTGCAACACCTCCGACCTTACAGCCCAGCCTCTCCCCAGCATGCCCCTGGGCTCAGTCAGCCACCGGAGCAGCTCTCAAAAGGATGGCAATGCACCAGGGCACCCAGGAGCGCTTACAGCCCAAAAAGCCATTTTTATATTGGCACAACTAGCCTCAAACAGTACCTCCCGTAAGCAAAGAGATTTTAAGCTGTAACAGTTCTGATCCCAAATATAAGATGATCATATGAAGGGGTAACTGGACTGTTGGATGCTGTCAAGTGCACTGAACCAAGAAGTGTCCATATGTACAAAGGACCAGCCTAAAAAAAATTGCAGTTACAAGTGTATACCACTACTTTCCCTCGTTCTCACACCCCATCAGTTAGGGTCTGCTCTGACAGGAAGAAATCTTTTAGAGGAGGAATAAGCCATTTACAGATGAATGATTTGAGAAGGGCAAGATATGTCTGGTTCAGGAATCTGAACAAATCTAAACATCAGCACGGTCTGCCCCTGTTGTGGCACTGTGATTTTTGCAAACGTCCCGGTAGTTGACTTGTGGAGGAGCATTGATTTTCATTTCACAGCAGCTTCTCTCATCATTTCACACGACTAGCCCCCCTCACCGATGACGAGCAGACTGGGCTATTACTGGGCTGAATAAACCTAAAAACCACAGGCTCTGAGGGCAGGCTTGGCCTGGGTGTCGAGCACACCCGTGGTCACTGAATATTTTAAATTGGAAGGAATTGCAAGAACCAGTGAAGAAGGATCACTACGTTTTCAGCAAGCTGAATTTTCTTTCCATCAGCAAATACACAACATATGTGGAAGCTTAACCTAAAAGGTAACACTGACTCCTAGTCTCATTGAACAGGGCTGCTCTCTGCATGCAGCGTATGGATCAAGTACCCTCCTTTTGTTACCTTCTCCCCAAAATAAAATCTGCCTAAAATAACTCTGTCGCCTCAAAGCGGGCTCGACAGTTTGTAAATAAACATTACATAAAACCTGAAACGCACAGAAAAACGGTGATCTTACAAAGGTGATCTAAGCTATGTACATGAATCAATTTTTCTTCTCAACAGTCAAAGCCCAAAATATTGGAGGACTTGAAACTTAAAAACGCAGCTACCTGTACAACAGCGAAACCGTCCAAGCAAACAGAAGGGCGTAGAGTAAAACAAATGGCATAGTTAACCTAATCTTCTAATTCTGTTTTCAATTCTAATAGTTTTTAATCATTTCCCATTATTCAGCTTCAATTCTGTTTTCAGCATCTTGCTTGTAAAATGCCGTGTTCCTCTACACTGGTAAGGTGAAGAAAACTAAATCTTCGCCAAGCTCTCTTCCCCATTTTTAAAACCAATTATTGCAGTTTGTTAAATAGCATCTCCTCTCATTACAGCTCCCACATTTTGTCTTCCTACAGTGAGTTTTAAAGGTCAAGAAACCGAGATTTTGGAAGAAAACCCATCTCTTCTCGAGCAGAATGCTAATGACATAATAAACTTAAAAACAACAACAAAAACTCCATTTCAACATGAAGCAAGCACTAAAGCCATCGGTTCTCCTGGGCACCAGATAGGCGACGGCAGGGGGATAAAGGGGCGGTGAGAAAACCCCAAAGCGGGAACACGAGCCACCGCGTGCAGAAACGCCGTGCCACCCACGAGGGACACGCGACTCGCGGCTCTCGTTTGTCCTGTCCTGATGCACCCATGGGCCAAGGAGTGCATCAGGATGCGGGCAGCACCTGGGGCCGCACAGCTGGGGTCTATGCAGAGCTGATCCCCAGGGTGAGCCACCCTGCTTGCCAGAGGAGGCAATTTTGGTGACCAGAGCCAGTTCCAGCCAAACCAGCTTAGACACAGTCGAGGTGCCGTCTGCCTCCTCCCGGCGCCCAGGTGACGGTGGTGCACTCGCGAGTGGCTCTGCCTGGTTTTCCCCCCAGACTTTCCTGCAGGACGGGGTATTTTCCACTCTCACAGAGCTCTCCATCATGGCATCTGCTACAAAGATGGTCTGTGTCACTTCCTCCGCACTTGTCTGCCCGTGCTGCCCAGTTTGGGGGCTGCACGCAGCTCTTTGAAGGACTGATTGGATGACTTCCATCAGCGGCAAGCACGAGCAGCTGGCCCGACCCCTGGGTCCCTGCGAGGGAAGGTGCTGAGCTAGCGATCTCGCTCTACCCCAACACGAGGGCATCAAGGATGCAAACCCTCTCCAGCAACCCCTCTGCCCTCCGCTTTGGAGGAGGCTTCAATTACACCTAGACGGAGCAACGTTTCACGTAGGCGAGTGGTGTTTTATGCTGAAAAATAAACTTCCAAGTGCCGCTTCTGAGTAACTGCCGTGACGGGGTAGGTGGCCAAAGCGCTCTTGGGAGACCGATTTACTTCCATCAGTGACATTGATTTTACTGGGCCTCGGCTGTAAAAACCTAGGGGCCATGCTCAGAACGGACAACGTGCTGGAACGGTGAAAGACACACTTGCACCGGCAGTCCTTTGAGGGATACAGCCTAGCGACAGCTTTATTGCTATTCCGACCCAAATACACGTCAAAAATCAAGCAGCATCAACGTAGACGTTAAGCCCTCAAATCCTGTTTGTTGAAGTTAAAAATATCTTCCCAGCCTACCTTTCCGCTACTAGGAAAAGGTCTTTTGCAGCTCTCCCAAACCCAACTGGAACAGCTGGTTACCACGTGTCACGATATTCCTGCGAGTTTTGCAACAGAGGATGGTTTTAAAGCTCTACCTCCTGGATTCAGGCGACCAAGTGAAAAATCTCTATTTTCATTAAAAAAAAAAAAAGCAGGAGAGATCTAATCTTCATAATAGTGGGAGGAAAAAACCTGGAAAATTAGAGTCCTAAAGGCTTTGAAACTGTAAGGCAAATACCAAGACTGCAGCTTTCATGATTTCTGAAAACCTCACAGCTTGGTGCGCCTGCTGGGTGCCGTGCGAACACTCGCAGCTTCCAGATCTGGGGGTCTCAAGGAGTAGTGCTTTTTTTTTTTTTTTTCTCCTTAATGAAATGTTTGCTCTTTCCTGTTAGGATTCACGCTTCCAAATGGAAAAACTTGCAGTTCTACGTCCAGATGACTTCTGGTTTAGATTAAAAACAAATGCAAAGACTTCAGCGGTAAGAGAGGAAGCCGAATGTATCTTGCACCCAGCACTCTCCAGCCTCAGCTGCTGAAAAAAGCAATCCCACTGCAGCATTCAACACTTCTGCTTTTTGTCTTCATCTCGAAACTTTGCTAATATCTGGGGGGTTTTTTTGGCAGGGCATTCACTGGTTTTCTCTTGCGTTATTTTATTGTTATTCTTTCAGGTGGTGCTGAGCATCTGAATTTACCCTGACGGTCTTTATTCCCAAGAGTTTTAGGCAAGATTTGCAGTCTCATAGAGGTTAGCTCTTTAGGGAGAGAGTTCACGTTCTGACTGTTTATCCAAACCAGCCAAAATCTTCAAGCCATCCCCTAGCTTTCGCTCAGGGCCATGAATCCACCTCGTCGCGGAGTGCTCAGCAACTCCAGTAAGGGTCGTTCTTGCAGGGGATCATTTTGAAATTTGGACCCCAGCTCAGAGAAGATGAGTGACCTTCCCAGCTCTGCTGCTGACTTTGCATCAATCACTTAAACTATAAAATGGGGATAATCTACCTTACCAGTTACGTTTTTCATGCATATTTTTGACATTCTCAGACTGTATGTTGAAGAGAGATATAAAAAAGGCTACACAAAATCCAAACATGGACTTAACATATCACTGTGGGCTTGCCCCGTTCTTGTAGTCAACCACAGGCAATCTTTGGCTAGGTGGACTTTTGGTCCGAGGCAGTACAGCTGCAGCTCTCAAACCCTCTTGCATTCTTGCAAAGAAGTGGCTGTGCTGCATTTGGGCTAGGAAAAGTTACACTTCTTACAGTGTTAATTGTGTCCTCTGACCCAACACCACCACCGCGAGCCAGATCCTCTATGCTTCACTGACTTGCTCGCTCAGACCTCAATGATGGTATGCTGGAGGCGACAGTGAGGTGGAAAAGGCAAACTGTGGGTGACATGACTTTTCCCCAGTACCTTATTAAATGTCATATTCAGTTGATCTAGACAATACTCCAAAGGTCGCTATTTTTGCCAAGTCCACAGTCCTTATTTGCTAGGACTTAGCCACATGCAGCTCTCCTGAAAACACCCTCCTGCCTGAAATGCTTGAATTGCTGCAAATAATAGATGAGATAGCACTAATGGAAAAACAGCTCTCCTTTTGCCCAGCGACTTTCCACCGTGCACCGGACACAAGTGCACTGAGTTGCCTCCTGCCCAAGGCAACAAAGTCTGTTTGGTAAAAGCAGCTTCAAAACTCTTTCTTTCCAGCTTCACCTCACATCCCCAGTCCTCCCTGCTCAAGACAGGTAGCTGTCACCCCTGCTAAGCTCCTATGACGCCTTCCCCAAAAAGGCGATGGGAATTCAGTTCGCTGACAGCTTGTCAACTCCGCCGCTCACTCTGATTTCAAAAAGTCTCTCTAGGCTCCTGCCCCGTCTTCCCAAGGATTTAGGGGCTGTGGCTTGGAGTAGACCTGCATTCAACATCTTTTTTTTTTTTTCCAAAAAAATACCAACAGCTGTTCAGCAATCATCAACAACCCTACAATAATAAATCAGCCTTTTTCAACACCTCTGTAATGCAAAAAAAGCCCAGGCGCTGAGGTAATACAGCACTGTGTACGTCTCCCCCACACTCTTCTAATGGTCCAGCACGGCAGAAAAATGGAGCCTGTCCTGAAGAACTGCTGTTAGAAAACCATTTCAAATTCTTTACATTAAGATTTTGTTTAAAGAAGCCAATAAAAACTACAGGAAAAATTCAGGTTGCATAATGCGAGTACTAAGTGATACTTCAC